TTTTTATTTACTGTCACACTACATGTTTCGACCTCAAGAGGTCATCCTCAGGTGTACGAACACAGTTGCACAATCACACACAATCACATTTCGTTTTTCCACTTATTTTTGATCCTGTATCCTGTTCAGGTCCACGCTCAAATAATATGTGTCAAGTTCTTCTTATAAAATATAAGTTAAAAAATACTAATTTTAAAGGTTAAAATTTAAAATTTAAAATATTTTGCAGATGCATATTTTTGCTGTATTTTACATACTTTGCTGGCCTTGATATTCATTTATTTAGAGAGATCTACTGCTGCAAAGCTAACACCACTACAGATTACATACTCCTAAGCCAGAAATTATTTTGAATAGTATTTCATTAAATACCATACTGAAAAAAAATGTTCAAAACAGGACTAGTACACATAACGAGTTACATATTTCATGTAACATGTCAAATACATGTACAATAAGTAATGTTTGAGTTGAAATTGAGCTTCCTGTAAAATCAAGGTTACATCTGACTGGTACACACCAAAATCAAGTTTATATATAAACTTCAAGTGTGGACCTCAATAACAGGTTTCATTAAAATCCTTAATGCAGTTCAGCCATGATACATGCAAACAAATCACCTTCCCATTACAACCCTTTCTTTCTGAAGAGATTTCATAAAACTGATCAATATCTTGAGTTACCAGACACAAACTTCTACTCTGGTTCACCAAATTAAATCTAAGGAGAGCTGATGTACTTTTGGCAGGCAGGACAGGTTTCCTGCTGAATACTTCAGTGTTCTGACATTCATGATTCCAATGATACTCCATTCTCGTCTTACAATACACGTTCAGAAGAATTGAATGTTTTATACCCCAGTGTTTTAAGGACACTCAGCTTTGCTGATCGATAAGTGGATCTGATGTATTGTAGAGTTAAATTAACAGGTAACAACAGAACAGTTACATAAAACAGTATTTAATTATGAATATAATGAATACCTGATGAAGTATGCATGCATTATAACTTTCTACTTAAGTGTGTGGTAGCCCCAGCTCACTCGCTTTCCTAGTTGAAGCTATGACATGAATTGCAGAAAGACCTTTACAATTAAACTGTCTTGGCTTGATAGCCAAGCACAAAAAAATGGAGGTTCTGTTCTATTCACATGGGGAGGACCACAGAATAATTTGTTTAGTCTATATACTGGGTTGGCTAGACATTGCAAGTTGGTCCACCACAGCTTTGAATACCAAATACACATGACTATTACACAATTACAACAATGCACCCCACCTCCACCTCTGCATATGCAACAAATGTCAGCAGGAAACCTCTTCGAAAGCCCCTACTCAAAAACTGAGGAGCTTAGACAACAGTACTAGACCAGATTGTTAACTGAACTGAACTTGCTCTACTTTCTTTCAATGATATGCTCTGGTAGTAATCTCACAACAAAGAACATAATTTCAAATTAGATCCTTAGTTACAGCTTCAACTCTGAATGACACCTCATTGGTCTCAAAGGAATCTCAATTTAGTTCTGAAGAAAACACAAAAAGATTCCTTTTGTATGTGCCTTCTGTTTGTAGCTACACTTCAATCCTAACAAGAAAGAATATTCAGTGTGTAAAATGTGAGGTTTCCACGGCAGTGACTACGATGAAAGCAGTCTACCCGGCGCCACATCCCAGAAGACTGCTTTCATCAAGAATATTCAGAATAGAGGCCATGCTGAACAGTTGGTGTATTTTTAAATTACAACAATTTTTGAAAGAATGATTTCCCACAAGCATATTTCGCTCATAGTTTTAAAAATTTCTGGTATCTGGCAAAATAACCAACGTACACAACTCTATGTAAACCAGAATATTAGATACAAATATGTCAACTCACATTTTGACAAATTTGATCACGCTGCATCCTGCACTCACTCAGCTCTGAAGACATGCTTTCTGAGTCACATTGTAACATACAAGCTTCCAAATTGTGATTCAGAACAAGGTTTCGCTCTTCAAGCGCACGGTATTCCTCCTTCAGCCTGGAAATAACGCAACTTTTGCACTACAGTGTTTGATTTTGCAATTACAGTTCATAAAGGAACAAATATAATCACAAAAGGATTAAAAAAAAAAAAAAAGTAAAGCA